TAAACATCTCTAAAGTTTGACTTGAATATTCCTAACGTACGAATATTAATTATTAAGTAATATTAACCTGCAATTATTACTGTGCCATTTAAATATTTGTTCGTTGGTAATTGTTCAACCCGTTGCATATTTTATGTTTGATCAACGTGAAGATCTGAGATAGCAAATATCTTTTCGTCAGACACCTGAATTAAACTCAAAATATGATGCTTGAATAAATAATAGTAACCTGCATACACGTGTATTTGAATAGGTAATTGTAAGGAAAGAAAATAATACAAAACGAAAAAAGCAGGCGTTCTGTCGATTATCACCAGGCTACTGCTTTTATTTTATTGCCTACCACGTACAATCACAATCCATGTCAGGCAAGCGAAGTAAATGAAGTGTTTTTTCTACTGGATGGCTAAAAGAATTCATATTTTACATTAGAGAACAGTTTAACAAAGTAATAATCAATCATTTCTTTCTTGCATATTTTTTATTTTTAGATTGAAAAAAAAACAAAAAAAAAGAAGAGAAAAATTAAAATATTCAAGTTGGAAAGGAAACATTTATTTCTTCGATACATATATCCGATTGATTTTTGTCGAATTTCATATTTGTACTAAATGAAGAATAAAAAATATCATTGATAAAGAATAAAAATGAGTAAACAATCAATTCCTTCTTCTAAAACAAAATATTATACAATAAGACATTTGAAGAAAATTTTCTTCTTTTTTTGCAGATGTATGATTTTAGAATGTTAAAATTAAATTTCATTATTGACGCTAAGAGTCTATTTCGTTTTCAATCAGGTATATAAAATGAAGCAAAAAACTTTCATATCAAGAAAGTATTATTCATCAACGCTTTTCTTGTGAATTAAACAATTCTTTATTCTATCTGAACACTCGAGACACTTATTATTGACGAAAAAAGAACGCATATCTTGTGATACAACCACGTTTTGTTTCTCAAAGATATCATATTTTTTCATTAGATAAAGGAGCCGCTTGCTTTTATAATATTCGCGTTGCCTAACAAGAGTAGCGATGGGTGCAAACGAGAGTGCCATGATTCAAGTGAACTTCAATCGATCAACTGAATTTTATTTTCCAGGTGAACATGTATCAGGAGAAATCTTATTTCAAAATAAGCATGATAGACTGAAATTAGTAGAGATATTTATCGAAATTGTCGGTGAACTTGCTTATACAACAGCAGAGAGTCGTTCTTCTACAGATTCAAATGGAAACTCGACCACAGAATACTATACTGATTATCATCACATACCATTTTTCACCAATCATTTACCTCTTGCTCGACCCGACAGTTTACAAGTAAGCATGTATTGATGAAAATTTTAAAACACGCCTAGTTTTTTGTAATTTTCGTAGGAGAAAATAATTCTGAATCGTGGTACATACACATGGCCATTTGATGTTAGTCTTCCCGAAAATTTACCTCCATCGTCAAGTCCGAATGTCGGCGCTTACCCTCACATCAAATACTACGCTCAAATCGTTCTTAACAGACCACGATTCAAAGTGAACGTTACACGAACTTACCCGTTGATGATTTATCTTCGTATGAATCATTTTCGTATGGATGACGTGCAAAACCCGCTTTCCTTTGACAAACAGAATCGCAAACAACTTCGTCTACATGGTTATCTACGTCATAGTCAGATTGTGCCTGGTCAATCGTTGTCTGTTCAAATAAATGTTCACAACCCTGAACGAACTGAAATCAAAAGAATCGACGCCGCATTCATTCAACATCGAAAAACTGCGCTCAACCATAATGACGAAGTTATCTTTTCTATCAATCTACCAGGTTTGAACGAGTTCAATGAATTATATTTTCAACGTGATTTCGGTCTACCAGTACCTTCTATTAATTTAACACCTACACACACATTCTCGACATTGCATAGTGATCATTCGTACAATTTTAACGTTGACTATGAACTTTTACTGCGGGTGAAATCCCATGGAATATTCACGAACTTTGAAGTAAGCATTCCAGTCGTTGTTGGCACAGAAGCAATATTAGGAGGACATCAACAAAACAATGGCTTTGACGAGACTGACTTGCCACCAAGTTATGAAACAGTAACTAAAACTATGCAAGCTTCTTAGAGATAAAAGCAATAAATATATTCAAGAAGGGAAATATGAAATGGATAGAAGAAAGAGAAAGAACAGTGAAATAATAGAACCAGAGATAGAAATCGTACTGTTAGAATCCACCACTAACACAATGGAACTATTGAGTGGTCTATGAGGGAATGCATTTTTCAAATTGTACCAAATAGATACATTGCTAAATGTAACAGGTCCACCGATAGTGTATCCCATGCCAACAGAATCGGAAAGTGCAGGATATATGTGCGTAGCCATCACTGTTCGATTGTTTGCATAGATTTCCAAAAGAGAATTATCAAGAAATATGTGTAAAGATAGAAGTTCCTTTTGAGTAGTATTTTCATCAATTAAAGTAGTAAGTAATGTGTGTTTGGCATAAACGATAGTATGATCAAAGGCTTTAATCAGAGAAGAATAAGTTCGATTTAAAACCAAATATTCTGAAACCGGATCATAAATAAGAGTGGTATATTCTAATCCGTTGGATGATCTCCGAAAAGTAAAACCAGCAGTAGCATTTTGTGAGATATTAATAGTTGCTTTCATTTCAAAGTTAGACGACGACATATTCAAACTTACAAAATCTGTGGCTTGATCAAATGTTTGAGACGTCAAAGCAAGATAACTGCTGTTTTGTCGAAGATTAATCACTTCATTAATTGGTCGAATACCAAGAGTTTTACATGTATATGTTCCCTGACCACTCGGTATCACAGTCCAAGGTCCTGGTTGAGAAATCGATTCATGAATATTAACGACATTTTTGTAAACTTGAACAAAAACTTCTCTTGGAAGTGTAATTTGACCATTGTAACCAAAAGCTCTTTGTCCATAGTTTCTGTGAGCTTCCTTTACCCATCCGTAGAAGATTCGTCGATCTTGTTTTGAATCGTAAAATGAATTAAGTGCATATGTATCACCCCAATCAGCAACACCCGATGCAATAATATTCATCGTAGCACTAGTGTTTTTTATCTTAGTCAGATCGCCGCGGATCCACACAGACCACTGCGGTGATGGATGCAAAGTTGTATTACCACCTTCAGTCCCAAGTGTAGCAAAAATATGAACAGTTTGATTATCTCCGCCATCAATAGCTTTTTCAACAAGAGAAAAAACATTCGAAACCTCAAAATTATAACCGAGAGAACCTGACCATTGTTCATTGAGCGTATAGTTGCCTGGCACAGATATAAGATGACCCAAATATGTCCAGTTAGTTAAATCGTTAGCGGATGCTTGATAAATTAAAAGTCGTGGACCAACATCACGAATACCTGATGAAATAGTCATATAATAATGTCCTTGGTCGGATCCATACAGTACAATGTCCATCTCTGGCCATTGTTCGAATTTTGGATCTCTCCACCCAGTTATATCCATACCTTCTGGCGGCGAGCGGAGAATAGGATTGTTGGCATAATGTTGATAAGTTATACCACCATCATATGACATTGCTAAAGATTGAGTTTCACTTTCTTTGATATATGGACCATTCCAACTGATGGGTAAATATTGTACACTTGTATAAATAACTGTCATTGTACTATTTGTTATGTTACTGAAAGCTGGAACAGGTAAAGTTGCACCTGTAAAAACGCCAAGTATACTGTATTTATTTCCAATACCTGGTGCCAATGTCACATAATCATAACCTTGCCATGAAGTTACATCTTCCCAAAAGATCATATCTTTCGATTTGGCATGACCCCAAGAAATATTTCCCCATTGCACATAGGCAGGTTGAACTTGATAATATAGATGGTAATTTTGTGTCGCTGGATCATAGAGTGGTCCACACGGATCGTTCATCCATGAATTTGGAGATGCAAAATGATAGGCTGGTCTCCATAATGCAAATAATGAGTTATCTGGCAAACTCGTAAGATTGATCCGTGATAGATCTTGAATATTCTCAAGTGTATTCAAATAAGTAGGATATTGAACGAACATAGTGATGAGAAAAATTAGAGAATACATCTTGCCGATTTATTCTTTTGAAATCAACTGAATATAATAATACATCGCAGTATTTATCTAGCTATTGGTTTTTGTCTAATACGACAACAAAACCTACATCATATAATAACGATAGCTTTATGATATTATCTTCTTTTTTCTGTTTCTTTTCGTCTAAGCCGTTATATCCAAGTCGTGTTGGATTTTTTTCTTCTTCAGTCAATATCAGGAACAAAAAAGTGTTCTTTTTCTCCTTCTGCTTTGCATATTTGTATCAAGTTTATTTATAAAAATGATATTATATTTTCTCTAATTATCAGAACAAGAAAAAATGACCAAATTCACAAAAGAAGACATGCATTTAACAGAAGCCCATTCAGAAATATTTATTGTAAATTCGCATAAGGTAATCGATTACTACGACGTAGATAGCTTACAATAAGATAAAAAATTCCACAGAGACCAAGGGCAAGAATAATACCACCGATAAATGAAAAACCATCAAATTTACGACCTAGCAAAAACAAAATATTATTTTGCATGAATGTGAATGACTATTGTACCTGTTGCTTTGGTGGTAGTTATTAAAGTTGTTGTTGTTGTTGTAACGGTTGAATTAGATGTTGATGGCGTTGTTATATGTGTTACTGCAGAAGTTACAGTTGTCGTTAGATCAGTTATTGTTGCTGTTGTTTGACGGCTGGTTGCATTCTGTGTTGTGACTAGGGAAAAAACAAACGTACAAGTATTTTTATTTTAAACAATATTTACTTGGCACTGTTGTTATAGTGATATAAGATGTAGCGTTTGACGTAATTAGTGTTGTTACTGCAGTAGTTAATGCACTATGAGTTGTTAGGTTAGTATTATTTTCGCCCAATGCTTGTTCATATGATAACGTAGCTATCGAATAAGAAGACACAATGACTAATACTTCGAAATGTTATATATTACATTAAAAAACAAAAGATTATGGTAAGACTTCTTACGAGAAGAATCGTTAGCAAGAATTATTTTTCTAAGTGTACCTTATCATACGATAGATCAGACGTTGAATCTGACACAAATGTATTCTTGCTAAAAACATGAATATTTATTAGAAAATGTGAAAGTCCAATATATCAATAGATATGCCTTGTTTAACAAGAATGGTCTAATAATTTGAGCTCAAAGTAATACTTCCTTTATAACAGATGAAGTTCCGCAAAAAACAATAATCGTGATTCTTATTGTATTCATATGTAGGCAACATATTTACTGCTGAAAAAAGATATTATTAGTCATTCTTCTTACATTTTTCAAAATCGTTTCGACTAATGTTTCGGAAGAGAAATTCTCTGAAAATCGATCTTACCTAATAGGATAACAAGAAGTGTTGGCAATAGAAAAAGTGAAATATTCATTCGTACAGTATCAAAAGTGCGTAATATCAATCTACAAAAATCAAATGGCGAAATGAAACAATGATCGAAAAAAAAAACAATGAGTGATGATGCTTTATCATAAAATAAGAAAGATAAAAACGAGCAATTTGGGCTTCTCGTTTTACATGATAAGGAAGTCAACCAAACGAAGAAAGAAAAAGGAAAAACTCAAATGGCAAGTACGTACTATGATGATATGTTACTTAAGAGTGAACACAATACGCATCTGAAACACGATGTCAATAGTTAATGACGGTTATGCAGCAGCTTGTTTTCTTTCTTTCTCTAAGAAGAATAGTAGAGGAAAAAATATGCCAACGCAGTCACCAGCTGCAATTACAAACAACAATATTCATATAGTCACACACACACAAAAGAAAATGTTTTATTATCCTACGCAAAAAACAATCTCAATGATTAATGATTTTTTTTTCTTTCTTTATGTGCACATTGTCCGGCATTACATATATGGCTAAGTATCATCGACTTTGATCTAAACGCAAAATAACTGGATGAACGACGATAAAGATATTCATATTTTAGACAATATTTAAAAGATCATCATAAAACTAGATGTTCGTGACATCTATCGATAAATACATTGAACTTTTGATCATAAAATATATGAGAGAGAGAGAGAGCGCTATGACAAATTTCGATCTAAAGAAAAATTACAAAATCATTTTTTTTCTAATTATTTCGATCTCACGGTTGAAGTGAACGAGATAATGTTCAATATAAAATATACATGTATATATGTGCTAGTTGACAATTGCATGTATGTAGGTCTTACTTTTCTCTTTCTCTCTCTCTGTCGTATATTTTTTGTTAATGTTCTCTTTACTCTCGTCCTTATTGTTCGTTACGCTTGATTGATTTCTCCTAACTACGAACGATAATATATTTTTCATTTCTTTTCTCCTTTCTACTCTCCTCCTGGTCACAATAACGTATCTATTACTTGTCTGTTAGACCTTGAGATTCTTTTTGGACTCAGATCATTATCATGGCAACGCGTACTGTATCATCACCATCGTCATCAACTGCATCCTCGGCAGCTTCTTCAGATACCGAAGAAAGCTCATCCCGTGCTCGTAATTTTAGCGAAACATCACGAGAAGTATCACAAATTGCAGCTAATGCTAGTATTGCTAATTCTATTCATGAAACAGCAACACAACGAACTGCTTCGTCAGCAGCTAGTCAGACATCATCGGTGACTGATAAAGGCTACGATACAGTTAGTATTGCAACAACAACTAAAACAGGTACTTCGAATACTACACAACAACAATCAACTGGAAGTATTCCAATCATTCGACCCCCTGTTCTACAACAACAACAACAACAATCAAATACAGCAAGTGGAATGGTTGGACCACAAAAACCAAGTGGATATCCAACAAATCCACCAGTAGTTCCAACAGGTGGTGTTTATCAACAACCCATTAAAATTGATGTAGCAGCAGCACAACAACAATATCAACAGCGTGGTGGTCAACCTGATATTAGTCCTTATAGTAGGAGAATTTTAATTTTTTTATCGAGAAAAGTTTTGATAGTATAAATTTTTAGGTGGTTCAACAACATCATCAAGTGGTGGATCTCTATCGAGTCCTGGTAGTACTGCTACTCAACAACAGGCTCATTCAAATGCTACCAAAGCAATATTCAATCAAAACAGTGGACAATTTAAACAACAACAAGCACAGTAAATATCCTTTTGTTATTTAATTAGAACAAAAACAAATTTCATCTTAAGATTTCCAAATCAAATACCAGCTTCTCAAATTTACAATGAACTACTCGGTCCTGATGCTTTTAAAGATGTTATTTTAGATATTGATTATGGAGCCATGGGAGGATTTAATGCAGTTTTTCAATCGGGTGGCGATTTCTCTGGTGGGCAATTGCCACCGGGTATAAATGTTCGTCCAGCTTACACACAAGTTGATTCTCTTAATTATCAACAACATATGTTTAATACAGCTCGAACAATAAATGTAGGTGGTGAAAATAATAATTATGATTACAATGGTGCGAGCAGTAATTATAATCTTAATGAATTTAATAACGCTTATGGTGCAACTAATGCGAGCAGTAATTATGATATGGGTGATACTAGTAATTCATATGGTGGCGCTGGCGGTGGACAACATTTTGATATTGCTAAAGCCATATTTAATCAAGCTGATACGAATCGAGATGGTGCAATAAGTCGAGAAGAATTTCAACAATGGGCTCAAGCTGGCCAACAAAATTATGGTGGCGAACAATCTTATTCAGCAGGAGCAAATAGTTATCAAACATCGGGAACAAATTATGCTAATGTTAATAACGGTTTATATCCAGCAACTGTATTCGATGGAGCAAATCCAGATGTAGCTAATATTCTTCAACAAAGTGGACTTGGACAAGTTGTACCTAATTAATATTTATGTGTTGAAAGAGAACTTTTACATTCTATCATCCGTCCTAGATTAGTTTTTATGTCTTATGATCTTATTATTTATTCAAATTCTCTTTCTTTTTTCGATAATAGTTATCATTTTCTATTAGATATTATCATGATAGAAGTGAGAATTAAAATAAAAACAGGATGAATTTATTGACTATCATCGGATTAATTAGGTATTAGATAGAAGCTGACCTAAAAAATATCTTCTTGTTTTTCGTTTTTTTTTTGTCTTTTGTACTTCCTATGGCCATATAAAACAAAAATCATATTTATAAATAAATTTTAAAAAAACTAACATCTATTTCTATTCAATCAGCGATTTGAATCAATGCACTATTTTATTTTAAAAAATAATTATGAAACAATTTAGCCAAAGAATGAAATATCATTTGACTGAGTTTGTATTTTCATAGTTGATCATCATTACTATCTATCCAATTGGGAACAGTAGAAATGTTAAGCGCCGGTACTGTACAAAAAGGTTTTGACGATTTGTTTTGTAAACTTTCGATAGTTGAAACTGATCGTATATTTTCATCAAAGGATTCCGTCGAATCCAATAGAGTCTTATTGTGGGCTACCATCGATAGAGGTCGAGGCGGTAGTTGTGACGTTTGGTTTTGGTTTTGTTTTTGAAGCCATGTTGAACTCTGCGGTCGATGCTTTGGCTTTGAGGCAGATGCACCTGCTGAGGTATTTAACAAATTCACCTGTGCTGTGTCATTGTAAATTGCATTTTTTATCTGTGGCAAAGGTTTCGCTCGTTTCGATGGTGTCAATGGAATTGACGCAATATTTAATTGAGAATAATTTTTATTCGCCATAGAAAATATCGATTGAGGCTTCGTCTGTGCTCCTGATAATGGAATACCTTTGACGACATTTGTTGTATTTGTTTCAGCATCAGTTGAAGGTCCTAGAGTGAACAATTGTCACTTACGACATAGAGAATATCGTTTATAATTGTTACCTTGTGATTGAGAACCATGTGCTAAAACTAAATAAATGAGGGTTGATTTTAAGCGCAAAAAAATATGTTCGAGTTTGTCCTTCAGGATAATTTTAGTTATTCAAAACGGCAAGAACTTTGAATAAAATGAAATAATAAACTTATATAATATTCATCGTGGGAAAGAGAGCGAGAGAAAAAATGATTTTGCATTGTCAAGTTCACAATATAGAATTACTAAGACTTCATCAGAATTTGAAGCGAGCATAGAAAAACTATTAAAAACTTAGAACACACGCGCGAAGATGATTATCTAAGCAATCATATCATGTATTACTACCTTGAACTAAACCAATAAATTACAAATAACTTACATAGATGATACCTGGATGAATTCGGATCGGAATTAAAACCGTCTTTATCCTATTAAATATAAAGATTATCTATTATAATCAATTTTGAAAAAAAAACCTACAATTTGTGTTCGTTTTCCTTGATTATCAACCTCATATGTCGATGTTGACATTGATACATTATGAGATTTTGCTTCATTAGTTTGAGCATGATTCATAGCTTTTAAACGATGTATATTTGACAAAATCTTTTTTCTATACGCATAACAAATGGCTATAATTATTGCTAAAACACCTGCTAGACCAAGGACTACACCCAAAATAATATACCATGAAGTTGAACTTGATGAGCTATTTGCCAGTTCATTCTAAAATGCAATTTAAAGAAAATGAAATGTAAAACACAGACAAAAAAAGTCTACATTCGTTGCTATGGTCTGATTAGTTTCATATTTGTTGGTTGTTGTTGTCGAAATTGGCCAATAGGTCGGCGTTGATAATGTTACTTGACTATCGTTTGCTTTCGCTGAACAAAATATATCGGTAATATTGGGTAATGTATAATTTATACAATCATTAAATTCACTAAAATTTGTCGCGATATATTTTTGTCCAGCCATTAATGAAGGTCCTGAACAGGTTGCTTGTGCTATTAGAGCACTACCATTGCTGATATCTGGAAAATCATTTATATCATTATTAATATATGTTATTAAATTATAAGATTCACAATCACATATCAACGAGTTATTTGTTAATAGCACATTCGTTATTCCAACAATAAAGTAAGCTGTGCTAACGGCATTTTCTACTGTACATGCACCGTATTGTTCAAGTAGGAGGTCCGAGAAATGTGTAAGATGATTATTATTTAAATAGAATTTTCTTGGGTCTGGTGGTTCTGTTAATTGTTCTAAAGTTATAGGAACTGTATTTATATAATTTACAATCGAATTATAACTCATATCGATAGTCATAGTATTCTCTAAATATTACAAAAAGATGAAAAGACAAGAATTCGTTTTTAATCAATTACTTGTTTTAACAAATAAAGGCCAAAAATCAGCACTAATTATTTGATTAAAACTAAAATCCATGGATGTAATTGTCGAAGGAAAATTAACGTAATATGCTGCATCAACTAACGGCATTGATGTCAAGTTATTTTGCGAGAGATTTATTGTTTGTAATTTTCGATTGGCTTGAAAGAAATTTAAATCGATATCATTTATATGATTCGAGGAAAAATCAACATGATTTAAATTGGAACCTAAACAAGCAAGTGCAGATGTATTTAATAAGCCGTCTATGTTATTTGATGATAAATTAATTGTAGCAAGATTTGGGTAGGAACAAATATTTGTTGGCAAACTTATTAGTGGACCGTTGGTAGACGTTACTGACGAAATGACACTTAATGTTCTAACATTTGTTTGCAGCGTACTAGGTGACAATGTTGGCAATTGGATAAGTGGAGGCACAGAACTACATACGATGGTTAAATCTGTATTATTGATAAGTGTACAATTGCACGAAAGAGCATCAGGACATATACTTGCCAGAGTCGACGGATAAACAGTATGAAATGATAAAAACTATTTAGCACGAAAAAAATATTAGATTCGCTTTTTTTTTCTAATAACAGTTTACCATAATTACAGTCAAAAATAAACGAAAATACCGGCGAGATATTGTCTTCTGCATAGCCAATGGCTGAGCAAAGCCGTTAGTTATTCAAAAACAATGGCATATGCCTCATTTGAATTCTTCCAATTTCTCTTTCTTGTCAACAAAGACATTCGCCGTTGTCTTCGACGTACATTCAACACTAACAACATTTGTGCGCGTTGCGATGAAGCCAAACGAAAAGACATTCTTACTGAAAAATAATTTAATGAAATATATTTATAAAACTAGGCACATATTTATTTTTGTAAATCAACTGCAAGCTAGATAATTTATGCGGCATAACAACAAACGCTATTTTGAAAATAATAAATAATTATCAAATACACACGATCGTGATAGTTCTTATTGGAAATCCTATATCTTCGAGCGTTGTTGGAACTATTCTATTATGAAATTCTGGACATGCATGTTCTAAGTTTTAGATTTACTATTAATAACTTTACCATAAATGGGATAGATTACAGGTATCCTTTGCTAGTCTTAAAATAGAAAGAAGAAAAAAACCTCAAAAAGTGTTATTTCTTCTTTCTATTGATAATCAACAATTATGTAGCAAGTAGTTTCTTGCAGCCGTAAAATAAATCTTGATTTCGATATTATTCTATTTCAAATATAACGTTCCATGATGTCTATGAGATGCTTACGTATACAAGAGAGGCGTTGTATTGCATTCAATTGAAAATTCTTAGACAATGAATAACTTGATTTTTCTTCTAGACAAAATAAAAACCGTGCTGCAATACACCCCGAAACTAGATTTTTGTACTTTTATTGATAAAGTCTCCGTTGAATCAACATGCATATTGCATGGTAAGATCTTCGTGACCCAACTTATTTTCTATTTTCATATTCAATTGAAAAAAAATAATGTTTTCTTTTTTTTTGAAAACAAGCACATCGACCTTTTAGAATTGTGTAACCTTCAAAAGAGATAATTACTATGTTAACATGTATATAGGTTAGAAAACTAAAAGAATTAATCAAATGGTTTTGACTTGATAATTAGTTATAAATATGTATTCAGTAGGGAAAATGTGGTTGCACCTTTTGTGCTTGTATTCTATTCTATGGAGTCGACTGAAACTATAATCTTGAACTGGAATGATTAAAACGTGTTTTCTTTCTCGCATTTAAAAACGATAAAGTTTACTTTAGCTTTGGTGAAGCAGAATTCAGACGACTATTTATTTGAGAATAGTAATCATTTGTTGATGATAAATATCTCGACAAGAGAAAAAGAGAATCATAAAATTTAACACATGTCAAATGAATGATCAACATGCCAATAAAAATTTATTAAAAAACACAGAACAGCGAAGCAAACACTAAGTGAATTTCATCGTTTATTTTTAACATCACTTTTATTTATAACCTTTGTACAGGTATATTGTTTATTGGTTTGAATTAGCCAATGTCGGAACAGTCTATTACGGACTGTACGTCCAGTGTAAAGGACTTTCTTGGGCGTTGATAATTCTTTTCATTGCCATAGTAAGAGTCTTCTGTCGACGATGTTTTATGAAACCAATCTTATCCATTTTTTTTCTTAAACCAGGTAATGACGATAATGTTACAAACGGCAAAAGAAACATAACCCAATAAGTTAGAAAAAATGTTATTTGTTGTATTTCAACACCAATATCCGAAGGTAACCCACAAAGACGTGCAACAGAAAGAATCATAATCGGAAAATTTAGCAGCAAATAAAGCGCAGAAATAGACAGTAATTGAATAATCATTTTGCGATAAACTTTCCATCGAAATACACGATTTCGACGACGTTTATGAACTATAACACGCACGAGTAAAGCGATACTAAAAAATGCGACGATTATTGTTGATAAACATCCGTGTACGCCCATTTCCCATAGGCCTAATATAGGATGAAGAAGATGACATGGCGATGCAGCACACACAGGTAGTATGTAGATATATTGATGATGGCACGGCGGAAAAAAAATAAGAACAGTATAATAAATAGTTGAATAGAGAATAAGAATGATCAATGGAAGATAATGAACATAGAAACGCTTCTTTCGAGTTGATATCCATTGATCGTGAAATACGAGTATATGCCGTTCGATTGATGTCCAAGCGAGAATGAGCGCAGCTGTATTGTAAAAACCGAGATCGACTAACCACCATAGAAGACAACGAACAGGAATCTGTGGCCAAACTGAACCTCGACGAATAAAATCGAGGTACCATGGAATATCAGTTAATTGAAATGCAAGTGCGATCGTTAATAAAATTATAATCGTATGATTATGTAAAGCATGACGAGATGTTCGATTAGTTAATAAATGATAAAGAACAAATAGTGAACATACTACAGATGGTATATCAAAAATAAGTAAAAGAATAAATCGTAGAGAACGTGGCCATGATATTTCGGAATTTTCAAAAGCAACCAGTCGTCTATCTGCCATCTTCGTCTTGCTTGCTGAAAGAACTATAAATATATGTAAAAACGGCGATGATGTCTTGTCAAACTAAGCAACATGTTGGATTAATAAACAGTTGAATGACTACATACAGATATTCATAACGTCACACATCTATGTTTTTTTTATTCTTTTATTGCAGTGAGAATGTTGTCTTATTGAGTAATACATATTTCATTTCATGAAGAGAAAAAGAAACGAGTACTTACTCTTAGAATAGTGTGAAATATGATGCTTTTTTTAAATTTCTTCTACAAGAAATTGATTTGATTGAAAAAAATTGGAATATTGATTAATTGAGTTATTTATGAAAATTGTAAATTAGATTTTAAAATTTCACAATGTTTTAAGTACAACAATATTCTTTGTTTAAAAATTATTCCCTATAGCCAATGATAGTATCCTTTGCTTCTTTTTTTCTTTATAAATAATTGTGTCGCAAAAAAGGAAATGATCTCTTACAAATAGAAACTGTTTGTAAGTATACATGAAACCTTATAAATTTTTCTCTAATAAATTTAATTAGAAGCGAGCGAGAGAGATTCTATCTTGAGGCCAACACGGATGCTCTATACGATAAAAGAGAAGGGCATAGAGATTGTGTTTTGGTACGAGCTTAGTACTGATAAGATTTTCTTCTTAGACTTATAATTGAAAGTAATATGCAGCTGTTTACATTAAATTACCAGAGGCTGTCAATCTTCATTTTCTATGATTCTCTTAATAATCGTAATCCTTCTTTTTTTTTTTGTTAATACATGTCATAATAAACAGTGAGCACTTGTGTATATTTGTATACGGCTAATCCATAATGACGTAAGAGATCAACTGAGTCACTGATAAGTATGATCATTTGGAATATTTTCTGTTGGCCTCATTATTCTAGAGGAGTGTCAGAGTAGATACTGTCAAGAAAAATATAGCAGCATTTTAGTTGTACACTATAACTATGAATTACTCAGTGGTCAGTGTTCAACTGTTTTTGTTTATCTTGGTTGAGATCTTCATTTGATCAAATATTTGTTTAATTCATAATATGGGATAGCGGCGAAATAATTCGAAATAAAATTTTCATGTGTGATTTTTTGAGACAATAATTATTTTGTTTGAACTTCTCCATGACGTTATACTTTCGTTGATCGTTCAGTGAAACTTTTCATTTTCTAACAATAAATATAATTGTTTGCTTGACTGATGAAATCTTGGCATGACCTAGAAATTATTTCGATTCTGATCCCGGCTGAACCTTAATTAGTCCACTAAATCAGACGATTCTAATTGAAAATCTATCGGTATTCGTACTAGTGTAGGGGTGTCACATGTTAATTTTAAAAAAATTATTAAATCGAGAAATAAATTTTCAAAAATTTTTTATCATTTAAATTTAACTAAATTTATATTAAATTGTTTGAAATTCAAATTAGTAAAATTTGAGTATGTTGCTCGTTTTCTAAAGTTGAAGTTAGTCATTCTTCTACAAATTATGCTATTAAATATATTTCTATGAGTATCTCGGTATTTTGTCGAGGAAAGATGACGGACTCTGCATAATCTGTAGAGTGATTATTATAAACAAATATTAACCTAAAATACTAGGTTCTCCTTTCATTTAGTAGTTACTACTGCTAAAGTCACGTATTTTCCTCATAGCAATGATGAGTATCGATCCAAACAATTTATTAAATTTAAAATTTAAATTAAACTTTTTGTATCAGAAAAATTTAAATTTATCTTAAATTGAACTTGATAGAATTTAATTTAAAATTAAATTATCTTTTCGAGAAGTTAAATTTAAATTAAATAAACTGTAAATTGACACCCCTACACTAATGACATCAGAATATCTTTTTTCACTGACATTTTTATACTATCAGCCAGTCAATTAAATGCAGCAGCGAATGTTTTTTTCCTCTTTCCAGGGAACTATTTGATTTACTGGAGATTCTTTTCCTTTCAACAATTTTGCTCGATGCAACATTTTCTTTCATGATTTTAGTAGAACAGAATAATTGGGTCCGTCGTCCTTGAGCAATTTTGAATACAGATCTTCTTGACAAGAGTTTATCGAAATTGATAGACAAGTTATTTTGAGCATTTGTCACATAGTGGAACAAATTGGCAACGTCCCTATTCCTCAAACAATTCCTTAGAAACAGCTCTATTGAACCACAGACAATTACGTTACTCGTTATTTCAGACAAAATTGAATCGCATTAAAAACAAATGCACGAATAGAACACATCTGACTTGCCCGGAGCTACTCTGACTGTTATATGAATGCAAGTGGTGAGATATATTCTCTAGATCACCAAAAATATGTCCAAAAAGAGAATGAGACCAATGATTTTATTTTTAATACGTGTTATATTTCGAAGCTAGGGGCTTATCAAGGACTTTGAACAGTCTGACTCGTTTTGATAAGACAATTAGCAACGCTTAGCAAAATATTTCGTATATTTAGCCTGTTTAATATCATTATCTTTTCTCTTTTATCGACCACTTTTTGTATACTGTCGATGATACCATTAAAAGTTTTATTCATTTCAGGAAGCTATAGAAATGACTTTGAAAGTAATTACACTTGCTCGAGAGACAAATGTAAAAGATTTTTCTCTGTGTAATACATTCGATTAGGAGAAAATATTCTTATTTTAATAACTTTACTAGGAATGAATAAAGGCTAACTTCTTCTGACCCTCATTTTGATAATTAGTTTTAAAAAGCACTTTATCGATTGTTTATACAAAAAGACTCCAATAAATAGTTCATGTTGATCACTGACAAACAATTACTACATGATATGACATAAAGATTGATTTCTTTAGTGGCCTTATTTTCCTTGTTTTTTCTTTCAATCAACATGTATTGTACTTTATCGCACGACTCTAGAAGAGCTTGCTTGCCATCCACATAGTAGACTGATGATCAATCGTGCAATGCCATCTCTAACATGTAAGGAAAATAGTGAACAAAACAGCAAAAGCTCATTGAAAATGCACTGTATTGATTTATGATGCAGGCGTTTCTTACACTGAAAAAGAAGTCATAGAACAACTTTTGTTGTTATCAACATTGGTGAGTAAACATTACGCTTTGCAGTTCACGTCCTTTTTTCGGCTAGAAATAATTCTTGAACTTGAAAAGTTGTAGTATTTTAAGACATACGATTGCATTTTGCAAAAGGTTTGCTTGTACTGAGCGAGCTGTTAAGTAATGAATATTTTCATTCTATTTATTCTCCGGAGAAAATTAAGTTTCATATTTTTCTTATTCCCTCTAGACATTAGAAAAAAAACACTCATGACCATTATACACGCCACCTTAATTTTCTAAGATCATTTCTTTTTTTAATCTTTCCGGAGAAAAACTATTGAAATAATCATGCGAGTTTTCGTCATTTTTCTCTAATGAATTATTTTGTTCTAGTAAAACTGATATTCACGACTAATACTGTAATATATTTTTTCAATATGGGCGTGATGTGATCATGAAACAGGTTGAAAACATTAAATCTCTCGGATCGACATCTTCTAACTATGTGCGAATAGCTCTACTGTGCATTTGTTTTCTCGTCGTATTTATTAGTTTATCCGTCAAATTTCATAGGTTTCAATTTAAAACTGTATCAAAAATTGACCATCCTATCCGTGCTGTTGTATCACACAGTGAATTCGATATTGTTCTCAGTTATTATGCTGAAGACATTTGGGACGTTGAAAGGTTTATTCGATATCTAAAGAACGTTTCAACTATTCAAAGACTCAGTCCTCGCGTGATTGTTTATAATAAAAATGTAAAAATCAGCATTGAATATTTGAAAGATACACTATTAGCTGATATTGTACGGGCACTACCCAATCGAGGTCGAGAAGGAGCTACTTACCTAACTCATATAATTGAAAACTATGATACGATTGCCAATCATACATTATTTTCACAAGCTGGCGTCGAAGGCATCACAGATGTCGGACTAGCTGATTGGTTTCTGACACGATTACTGCATCAGTTCAATTCAATGGTAGGATATATGCCACTCGTTTCAAATAATTGGATCAGTACGTATGATTGTGGTCATCATTCTCAATATGCTTATCTTCCAAGGTTACCACAACTATGGGGAATCGTCGAATAAACACGCTGTCCTCCAGGTGGACAAGCGGTAGGGATATCTAAAGAGTTGGTTGTTTTTACTATAACAATATCAAGTATTTAGGTTAGTTTTCGAGGTCAATTTCTTGTAAGTGGTAGACGAATACGAAGTCGACCATTATCTATATACAAATATCTGCACGATCTAATTACGGTATGAATATTACTGTTTATGTTATTGTTTTTGAAGTTTTGTCTTATGCGTTTGAAGGCTAATAACTCGCATTGAATTCATAAAGATGGGCTTGTCGCAAATTCACTTTCAACACAAGAAAACCCTTTTTTCGGTCATACAATCGAACGTTTCTGGACCATGCTATTCAATTGTTCAAAACCTGATCTACTTCAAAAGTGTCGCCAATCCAATTGTTCCCGCCTAGATTAATTCAATACAGCCAAATAAGACGTCACGTTTATTCAACTTTCATATCCCATGCAATATATCAGAGACTACTGAATCATAGAAAATCTCTGTTCTGCATATATGTCTTTTAAGGTTATTCAAAACAATAAATTATGCCATGCGGAAAAATAGAAAGAACATCTTAATCAATAGTCAGCTACTCCTGAAAAACAACTGACAGTTCGAATGCATGTGTTTTATATAGTTAAATTCACAAGTAGATCCGAATGTGCCGATATTGATGGCACGCTTCGATGATTCTCCTTCATTCTCTTTCTGTTCTCTTTCCATTGTTCTAATATATCTCTCCCCTGTCTCTCTTCTATCTCTCTCTAATATATACGGGTGTTACGTATGAAGTTGTGACACTCTGGAGATGTCAGATGTCAGATGACACAATACACCATCATGCCGACGGGCATAGGCGACAGTCTCTAGTTCGGTCGTTACACTCTGGATAACTTGAATTAGTCTAATAAACATCTTTGTCGAGAGTGGCACAAGCTAATCCAATCTAGTTGTTCGTTACACCGAGCACTCAATAGAAAATCGAATCAAACAGTATCATTGTCTATACAGTTTTCTAAAACTCTCTACAAGCTGTTGCTAGAACTCGGTGCAAAGCATATGACAGTTATCCATTCGATCAATTGTAGTACAAAAAAATCTTGTTGAAATTTTGATGTAGACTCAGCTATTCTTTTACAACTATTATTATCATCTGACTTGTATCCGAGATCGACTAGAAGAAGGACATTGTAATACAATTTCTAAAGATAAGGAAACAAATTTAGGATGACTATGAAGCCAGTTGATTTGCAATCGGTTCACTTCAATCTTGCAGAATAATGAACGGAATATTCTTTTGCCTTCAACGAATCTACAATATGCTATGGCTTTTATTAGGAATATTAAAACAATATTTTAATAATTTCAGGTTACAAACGTAGTTATTGGGTGTTATATATATATATATATATATGCCATCTATTCACAGAATGACCGCTCTTCGGTTTTCCAACAGCCAATAGCTTCTTTCGGAAAATTATCCATGAAGTGATACAAACCATCTACCATTGCACCTCTGTCAACTAATGCTTTTGCTTCTCGATTAGTAGCCAAGTATTTCTCATTATCAAACTCATGTCGTTTAGCACATCGATACTTCAAGTAAATATATAGAGGATAATCAGCCATATGTTTTGTAGTCAGCATAGGTGCCGTTAAAAAATTCTTCGGCTTCAATGAATCCATTGCATCAAGCTGTTGGTAAGAGTGAAGAAAAATGTTTTCATAGTCTTTCGAGTAATTGAACTTGATAAGGCTACAAACGGGTCCAAGATCATACGTTTTTATTGGCATTCTTATAAACGGAGGTATACTTTGATCAACTTTGACTAGAAATTCTTCCATGGATTTACTATAGTAATGGATTAGCGAAATTTTTGAATTGTGATTTCCCGTCAAGATTTTTACTGTATCTGCGCTGGCTCTACATGATATATCATGTGGAATATTAAAATTTGTTAAATTAGGTCTCGCAATAATTTTAGTCAATCCATGAATTCCACATTCACGAGGGTAAGCTTTAAATAACGTGTTGTTCTGTTTCAGAATCTTAGCTTCACCATACATCATCGTCCATGGAACTTTAACTCCACATACATGATTTCGTTCGAGGTCCGTGAGAAGGCTATTGAGTGCATGTACGGCTCTGTTTTCATTTTCATAGTAAAAATATTCATCACTATCAAATATAGCCACCCAATCTGCCTTTTTACTATATCTATTGAGACATTCAACAGAATTTTCATTTTTTATATTATTGTGAAGTAAATCAGTGGTGTTTCCACCCTGTGGAATATGAGTTACCACACCAGCAGCAATGAATGGTGCAAGAACATTATTAATATTTGCGTCATAGCCAGCCAGAATTCTGTTGTTATCAAAGATGACGATGTGAGAAAAACCAATTATCAAATTTCGAAGAAGAAATTCAAGAATATGAGGATCATTTCGAACTATAGTACATATAATAGAGCGATACTGTAAGCCATGTAGAGAGGTCGAATTCGAGCGTAACTGAGAGATTATTTTAACTGCTGCGTCAAATTCTGGTCGTACGACAATAGGAACCGGCGTAGGAGGTGTGAATTGCATTGTGTAAACGAAAGTAATGAAACCCAATGAGAGCAATATCATCAAGCTAATTTTTGTGAAATATGAACGACAGTCTGGTAATACCATGAGCTGCATATATTTAATATCCCTAATGACAAAATTTTTCCAAGTGAGAAATATCATTTCCACGGATTAACAGCGAAATGCCACGCTTTTACTTAGAAATTTCAGCTTTGTCTTGAAAGAAAGCCACCAAACTGATGTGTTGCGTTCTAGAAATAGTGTTGAAAAAATTCATAATGATACAAACATGTTTTCGAAGAAAAATAGTTAATGAAAAATTATTAGCAGTCGAATTGAAGAGTTTTTCAGTGTAGAAATGCTAATCATTCGGGATAATGATTAGCATGATGATTGAACAGAAATACCGTTGGATACTTTCATATTGCTTTTAATGATAGAAAACTTGCTTGGCAGTATCACCAAGAAAACGGCATTTAACTACTACTTACTAATACTTTATGGCGATAGTGAATTTAAGTGCATCTGATCTGCTACAGCTTACGCTCATGAGCGTGAGCGGTATATTCATATATGTTTTTTAAATTTCGCTCTATTTATTCGTGACATCCTATCTTTTTTATGATTTTTAGTACAGTTTTTTCGGACGCTTACGAGAGAGAAAGATAACGATAACATATAGAGAACAGAAAACAAACAAACTGGAGAGTCATTGGTGACGAATCCACGTGTATTGAATTGTTTTTCTCTTTCTTGACTGTTCTTCCATTATCGAATATCTTTGAAACCAAAACACTGTGCCAGGGGAAGAAATCGAACGTTCTGCTATCTGACTAAATCAGATGCATAGAACCACTACGCCACACCTGGATATTCCTAATTATTATTACTTTTATTATTTATTACGAGTAATAAAGTTAAAAAAATTGAAACTAATAAAAGCAACAACTAATAAGTAATAACGTGTAATAATTATTACCGTAATAAATACCGACCCAAAGATATTACTTAGAATTTTTTAGTATCTATACAGGAGGATTTCGTATAGCTACTTACGACCTACCGGGAGATCGTATTAGAAACTTCCAGGATCAGACCAGAATTGGCCCCTATAGCTATTACTCAGTCAAACAAGTAACGAAAAAATCGACGCTCTTATGCGTTAAAACCGCACATTCTAACATGTTTAAAAAAATTTTCTTTTGGCAAAACAAGCTTAAAAGCATTAACATGTATCGATTTGTTTTTTTTCTCACAACAAATTATTTTTTTAACACGTTAAAATGTGCGCTTTTAACGCGTAGAAACGTCGATTTTTTCGTTACTTGTCTGACTGGTTTGAGCTGATCTGTGCAACATTTTAGTACATATATAGTCCCATGTTGCGAATACCGGATCAATTTTTGCGGTAAACCGCGGTATTTATCCGTTCTGCGGTAATGGGAGCGGGTAACTGAACCGGTAAAACCGCGGTAAACCGGCGATTTTTTGCGCATGTTTATCACATGTAAAAGTAAAAAAAAAGATCTTTAAAATAGTTTAATTGATGATTTGGAAGACTTTTTCTGTTAAAAATTATGGATGAACCGGTTAACCGCTNTTTATAGTTAAATGTGGTTAATTCCTGTTCATTTTTTGTGGTAAACCGCGGTATTTTTCCGTTCTGCGGTAATGAGAGCCGGTAACCGGACCGGTAAAACCGCGGTTAACCGCCGATTTTCATGCGGTTTTCATTACATGGGGTGGCATCCCTTGCATTCTTTTACGCAGTGTGGGAGGGGATTCTTATAACTTATTCAGTCGTAGCTAGGTATGAACCGAGACCAATACTCATCAATACTGGAACCGAGGCTAACCGCGAGCAAGAGAGAAAGAGCGAGACCAAAACCTCGACCACGACGACTGAGACGGAAATGGAAAGTCTCGGTCTGGGCATAACCCTATTCGTAACTATTGGCAGTTTCTATAACCTTTTTTATCCCATATAAGCATCGCCCCTTTAACGTGTCACTCTGACCAGCAGTGATATCTTCAAACTTGAAGTATTATCCTTAGCGGACCCGAAAAATTCATAGGAGCAACCCTTAAATAGATCCAAAATGATTAAAGGAACCATTCCAGTGTAAATCCACAAAATTTACGAGGACCATCTCCAGAGACGATGCAAAAGTCACAGATATCACATCTAGATAGGACCTAAGGGCTGAAGTGGTTACCCTTAATTACGGCCCAAATAATACTAGTGATTGAATGCAAATAATCTAGTGATTGTGGACAAATCAGTGAATAGAACTGTTTCAGCAGTTCTTTCTTTCATTTGATCTGAACTACAATCTGAGAGCTGTTGTAGTCCTAGTGGTGAGAAAGTAGAAATATATCGATAAGTAGAAGTGATTCCACGATCAAGTTCTTTATTGCTTTATTTCTTTCTTATTACTTTATTACTTTTCCTGGTTTATAGTTAGTATACTATTAATTCGAAATAACAGTTATTACTTATTACTGGTAATAGTAATGTGTTACCCCTACTAGATATATATAATAAGATCCTAGCCTTGTTCCTTGATAGTTTACGGTAGTAAGATGAGCGAGTTTAAGAAACAAATATTCGGAAACTATGATTTTCCAAACTTTAATGAGCCTATTCTATCGCTTATTACCAATTCATCGAGTAACAAGTATTTAGATGCATGGATTGAATATATAAGATAAGAAACTGTATGAAATACTATAATGTATTTTTATATGACTATAGCTAAAATGAGTTCATTATTACTGATTTCTTGCATATTCTATTTGGAGAAGAAGCGGTCACGCTTATCAGCACTCATGACCGGGAGTTCCACACCCCTAATCCAGCAGGATCCATGTTTTTTACATTGTTTGAAGATTGCTGTAAAGCGAATCAGTTTTTGGTGTATTGTGGTAGACTCCAACGTATTTAGTAGATTGAAGTAGCTTCTAATAGATTTCCGTACACTTCAGTCAATCTATTGTGCAATCTAATGCCCTTTATTAGGAGCAACAGGATCCACCAAGATCCATCAGGATCCGCTTTTCCCCCTTGATTACGGCAAATATAAATTTCAAATATTTCACACGACTTGAGCAATTATTTCACGACCTGTCTTCGGAAGAATTTCAAGATATCTCCTATTTTCGAAAATTGTTTCAACTTTTCTGATAGAGATAGCGTGTAACTATTCAATAAGTCTGCAAGACCTGTAGTCTTATAATCACAACAGATTTTTAACTGAGCGGCTGGTCGTTCGTCGGCGCTCCTCTGGGGCGCCAATCACGAATAGCCGTTGCCAAATTAAGAATCAATTCCACCGCAAGATGCCTATAGCCGATTTGTAATAAAATCCAATATAAGCATAAGATATATATATATATATATATATATATATATACCACTATCAACATCATCGAATGATACCTTTAAAAAGTTTGTCGACAAAGAATTCCTATCACGAAAATACGATGATCTAAACAGTTCCTAGTGCATTATAAATTAGCTTGACCTATGAAAGATTATTAAGCGTTTAATATTCGATCCAGTGACAGCCGCTACCTTATTTGAATCAACTTTATTTATTTGTTTAGGATCATAACCGCTAATAACGTCGTCGTGGTATTTCTAAACGCTTTCGAAATACCAGTCACTCGTCAGTTGCTGGTCACTTAGTTTTACTTTTTCAAAAAGCTCATGTGTTCATTCTGTGCAATAGGCCTCTGTGCAACCCTCTTTGTTTATCAAAACGATGACAAAATGTTTTTGAAAAACTACACTTAAAATAGAATGACTCTGCGTCAAAAACTTTCTGTCACACTTTAAACAAAGGCATTTTTTTCCTAAAATACTCTTGTTTTCTCCATAAGAAAAAAGGTAGAAAGCGAAACTTCAAAAATTTGACCTTCGATTCGACTCCCTCGAGCCTGACAGCATCTGATCAAACTTTACAAGGAAAACTATTTCTCGAAAAAACGTTTTTTTACTAAAAAAGTTGAGGATGATAAATTCTGAAAATCTGACACCATATTAGAGTTCCCAGACCCCGATTACCGTCGGTGAAACTTATCACTACAGATATTGTTTGCGGTTTGTTAAGTTTATGCATCTGCTTTCTTGTTGGACGAACGAACGAACGAACGAACGCATTTAACTCGTTTTTCGTAATACCCTCCTTTCAGTAGAGAGAACTTTTAGTGCACTCGTCTCAAAAGTTGCTGCTTGAAAAAGTTCATTGAATATGAACGCACTTGTTCTGTCTGTCGAGCGTCAGAATCGGACAAGGTCAGTGAGAAGAAAAAACATACATCACCATGAGAACTTTTCTTGACCAGAGAGTGTGTGTGTGTGTTAGAGCCTTGCGGTTCAAAAAATTACCCGGATCCGGTTTTGTGGTTCGGATGTGTATGTGCGCGTGTGTGACAGAACAGTTTCATATTGTATTATTTGAATCAACGTTGAACCTGACAAACAAAACACTATTCCCATACTTTGTGATAAGCGCTTTTTTCTTTACTCATTTCAAAAGGATTATCAAGTGTCCTTCGTTGTTAAATAACTATTGTATGTCATAAAAATGAGACAACAAAGAAATGAATAGCTCTTTCCTACGAAGATTCTGGGAACATCATTTTTTTCTCGATCGATGTTTTTGTCGGTTTGAAGGAATGGAAGCGTTGCAATTCCAACTCTACAAACCGAACAATGGTTCGCATTCACTTTCAATAATTATATGCTTTATGATTGATAAACAGATTTGTCGAAAATTTCATTTATTTTTTTATCATGATGATAATTTAGGGCTTTCTTATTTCGACTGAAACAATGTTAGAAAATAGAAAAAAAACTAATTTTTTCTGGATTTTACATCAACATCTCAGTGCTTGAAACAAAGAAAAACATGTCGTACTCATAAAAGTAAAAGCCGTCTCGGTTTTTCTATTTCGATATTTTGAACAAACTTTGACTTGTGCACGATTCAAACTGTTCGAGAAAGATGATACTTATTGACTAATATTCCTATTAGATCTCAGATATCAGGCAACAAAATAAGCAGCAAGCAATTGGTGAAAATTTAAAATGTTTTTAAATGTAGAGTATTTATTTTTATAGAATTTTGTAAATTATCGAGCCAGTAAAAATGGATTGACCACAGAAAAATTAAAAATAGGTTGCGCTTTGTCCATGAAAAAATACTGTCTCTGATTTCATTTTCTATCAGTGTAATAACTTTGTCTTCTAAATGATCATCTACAAGATGCTTGTAGATAAAAATTAGTATGTTTTCGTAGCACAACATCTTTATACGATAGCAAGTAGCTTTTTATAAACGTCTGTACTGATTTTAACAATAAGTTTTCCGTTGTTTTAAACAGAAGCCACTGTCCCAGTGTCCATGACGAAAATATCTGTGTAAACCTCTATTATTCTAGCTTGAAGAACTTACGAATGAACGAATTTTATAGGATGAGAATGAAGAAATCTAATAAGAAAAAGAAAAGGAAAATCTTGGAATCGATTTTCTTTGTAGTTTTATATAATTTCAAAAGCTACATTAATTGTTCCACTAAATGTAAGATATGTTCTATGCAAATTGCATAGTGAATTTTATAAAAATAAAGATCGTATTACACATCTATAAAATGCACCGTAATAAACTGATCGATAAGGACTCGCAATCATGAGTTCAGTAAGGATTTCTCATGTACTTTTTCTCTAACTTTTGATTGAAGGTTAAGTTGATGGGTTAAGAATATAATTTTCATACATTGAGTCGTTTTTTTGCGTTGTCATGTTGATTTATACGGGAAAAAATTTGCATGTTTATCGTTCTGTTTCATAATCTCGGTGGGGTCTTTGTTCTTGCGGCACTTCATGAGATTCATACTACATTAATTCAGGACAGCAAATGAGTACTCGCTTTCGTTATTGTAGTAATTGATCATGCATATAAAAGAGAGAGGCAGAGAATTGCAAGAATAACCAAAAAACATATAATTACTATTTTTGGTAGGATGACGAAGCAAAATTTATTTGTATATATATAATGGATGTGAGCTAGTCTATCATTAAAATACTCAGCAAGATATATTCTGTTGAAGTTTTTTGTACAAAAAATAAAAAAATAAAAAAATGTCAAGTAATGCTACAGCACCAGATTATTCGCTAGCCAGAGCACATGGTATTTTCTTGGATACTCTTTGCTTCCACAGGAGTTTTATTTGCACGTTATGGCCGTTCAATACGCTTGAATAAACAAAAACAACTACTCGGTGACGGTGTTTGATTTCAAGTACACAGATTTAGTCTTGTGTTAGCTGTTATTGGAACATTGCTTGGATTTTTTCTCATTTTGGGCCAAGCACAAGACCGATGGGTGGGCCAGGTTGGAGACGGAAATTATATGTTTGCTCATTCGATATTAGGTGCGATCATAGTAGGCTGCGCACTTATTTAGGTATGGATGGCGTTATTTCGTTGTCATCCGGATAGTCCCTTTCGTTTTATATTCAACTGGGTTCATCGAACAACTGGCATGCTTGCTTTCACACTTTCAGTGCCAACGATATTTCTTGTCGTTTACGTTCTGCTAAAATATCATAATGGTTTCGTGGCCATTATGTCACTTTGGTCGGCTTGGATTGTGATCCTTTTTATTGTTTTTGAAGTGGTCCAATATCGATTTCGATTAAAATCACCTACAATAGGACTCGAAAAGAGTAAAGATGGAAGCGATCATCAATCCAATGATGAACAGCAGGATCAAACGAACGGTCATGGTTATCTTAACAAATTGAAACTCATTTTGTTTCTGCTCAATTTTTGTTTTGCGATTAGTCTTGTAATACCGTTGGTAGTTCTGATTTGGATGCAAGGTTGATTTCTTTCTAGTCCGCTGAAATTTTAAATAAAGTTTACGTGACAAGTTGTGAGAGTTACAACCATTGTTTTCTAGTACAAAGTCATCAGAGTATAATTCATTCTGAATGTACTCATCGCAAACCTTCGTAGAGACACTAATCGGATGAATTCGTCTAAACAGTAGGTAGACTATTTTTCGACACACACGACATAAAACACATACGTTTTTTTTTATTCTCTCATTTGGCATTGATAGTGCTCCAGATTTATTGTCAGGTGCTATTCTGAGAGTATGATTTAGATTCAATAATAATTTGCACGAACACGGCCAATTCAGTAATTGTATGAGAATTTTTAATGCACAGTTTTCGACTACTTGTTTTTATTGTTAAACATATCACAATAAAACATTATAGTTAGTTTATTTAAATACATAATCATATATAAATAAGAATCAGCCTACGTACATTTAAAAACAATATTGCTATACACAAATTTTGTATTCGATGAGTCAATTAGAATATTTTCAAGCGATAAGAGAAGTGAAATTCTCGTTACAGTTTAGACTCTTTTATTTGAGTATTTTTCTGTTGGTCTTTTGGAATAGTGTTGCGTCTCATTGCTTCAATTCGATTATGAACTTGACATGATGATATTTCGATAGTTAAAGTAAGAAACACTCTTTTCGAAACGTGCGAGATGAAAGAGTATACAAGAAAAATGGCGTCGCATACGAGATATGAAATGCAACGCGACAAATTAAAAAACTTGAATGTAAGGTAGACGTTGACTCATAAATACCGGGAAAAGTGGACAGTAGATCGACTACACAGAGCGGGAAAAAGGAGTAGCTGTACGATTACTTGAATAAAAAGTATCTGAAAAAGTTGAGTTTCAGTACGGCGACGAAAGCACGCTGTTGAAACTGCTCTACGATATCGTTGTATGTTGAGTATTGTCAAAAAGTCGAAGATTAACATTAGTAGAGGGGCCATAAAAGAGAAGAGCACAAATTCAAGAATACTACATGGTTGAACGAAAACTCTATCGCCGTGGATACGACAGCTAATAGTGTCTTTATTTGTGCTTAAATCTGTCATCACCAATGATATAATGAAAAGTAATGGAAAAAAAATAGAGTAACGAATAATATTAAACATTTAGCCGTGTGAACATTACTGAAAATGCGTCGTTCTATATTCGACGAGCTTACATCCAGCTGTCTATTGATGAAAGTACAATAAAAGATGGTAATAATGCCGAAAGAGTAGTTCCAAAATAAGTAAAAAGTTTACATAAAATGATTGATCGAGCAGTGAATTTTAATTTATATCCATCTTCCTATAAACAAGGGATCATAATAATGATAGAACATATCAAGTTATTTGTAGAGAGTGCAATAAAGTAAAGAGAACATACAGATTTTCGCAACTGATACTGATTAAGAGTAATAATGTTGAGTGCACTACCAAATGAGACTGGTCAGAATAATTACAGGAAGTAATATTTTAATAGATCGAAGACTGATTTCAATCAAAAACTCAACCACGTACTTTCCCACCCTGAACATAGAATGTCTGTATCGCTCCGTGATTGTCAAGAAGTTATATGAACAAGAAATCTTTTTTTCAAGTTTTTACCTTCTATGAATGTAATCGTAGAGAGAGAGAGAGAGATATTCACGCTACTGCTAGTTAAAATGGTGCTTGCTTTTTTTTAATACTAAATTTGCAGATATACTAATCTTTGAATGGCACACTGATGGATATGCGAGGTTTCAGAAGACACAGAGCACGGTGCCCTTCAATTACCTTTATTAGTGGTTGCCGAAGATGGGCACTTGTATGTTTAAGAATACATATAAGAGAAGCAGTCAGATAATTCTCAGTAACAGTATGCGCATGAAAGGAGAACCAGCGCTTAGGTAACAAGTTCTTACTTAAGTCTCAGGTTTCAATATCAAATGAATGTACGTTTAAACGACGACGACTTCTATTTCATGTGAATGATTTTCTATTGTAAGCGTTAAAATCACTTAGACTCGCATAAATTAAGTTGTGTCAAGTTGCTTTGTTGAGTAAATTGCTTATAACGGCTTGTTGTTTAAATCAGTTAAAAGTGCTGGCAAATTTCTTACATTCAAGTACAATGAAGTACTTATTATAGAAATTACTTAATAGTACGAGAACTTCGTCAAATTTAAGTGTTGTTAATGTTACCTTTTTAAATCGCTTCGAACGACATATTCTCTAAGCCATCAATGAAAACACAAGTTCCCATCATGCGAACGCATGGAGCAGTTCATACCTAACAGTGGGCATCCTTCTATGATAAAGCTCTTTATGTATGTATGACTTAGGTGGTTCTATCAAATTTCGAAATCGAACTAATCCTGCAGAGCTGTTTGATTTATTTTGCTGTGACAATGTAACTGCTCATTTCACAAGAAATTATACTCCTTTCAATGGGATTGATCATCTGCATTTTCCCAAGTGAAGTAAAATGAGTATAAGATGTAATATTGTGCGGATTAAAAATTATGTGGATAGTTGAGAGTCACGATGCTTCATTCGGGATTCAATGTGAAAAGGCGTATTACTGTATTTCCCTTGTTATCCTTGGTATCGAATTGCGAAAATGTATGAATTCTATTCATGAGCGTTCCTGCGCCCGTATTACTATTTAAATATTCGAACACTCTTGAAAAACCAATTGGTTTCAGTTTTCGACACCGTATACTTTGCTCCTGCTTGATGGTTCGACGAGAAACCAATGATAGAATTATTGGATATATGCTATCTTGAAAGTGTGAGTGTGGCTAAAGTTCGCGTTCATAGGAGTTAAGTTTGCATGGCTTCAAGAATTTTTGGTTTTGATTTCAAAGAAAATTGCGAATGTGTTCAATCACTGACATTCCGATCCACGTCAAAATATGATAGAAAAAAAAGCGAAATTTGTCAGTCTTTCTGAATCAGTAAAAGCAACAAGTATCCTAATCATGTAACAAACGTAATTGAAGTTCCGCAGAGAATAATGATGTTTATCTTCATCAAACGAAGAAAATCTCAGCACACCATAGTGGAAATTCACCAGGGTCGTTCCAATTTTGATTTGAACAAAAACTTCAGTATCACCTTATGAAAAACAGATAGCGTTCCTACTCCATACTTGCTAAATTTTAAAAAACAAAATAACTCCAAATTTCTTCTTGATATTGATAAACTAAATATCATTATGATAACAGAAATTTATCAAAAACTACATTGAGACATTAATTTTTATTCTCTAGACATATACAAAAACAAGTAGTAACAACAACAATACATAGATTGATTAAATACCCGGAAAAAAATCTATTTCAATGATTACCAAAAGTTCGGATCATCAATAATTCCAAGTTTATTTCCTAGTCTTCGAAATTTAGCGCGTACTTCCTCTTGCATCAAATTAAAACACATAGCCATTAATGATAAACCAAAAAGAACATAAAGAGCACATATAACAAGTTTACCTTCAACTTGTGTTGATGTGATTGATTTTCCTGGTACAAGATCGCCTTAACGAGAGAAAGAGAAAGAGAAAAATAGGATCTCATTTATTTATTCCAAGAAAGAAATTTTTACCTAAACCGATTGTTGCAAGTGTAACAAAACAAAAATAAGCACCATCTAAAAGCTTCCAATTTTCCCATTCGCTAAAAAGCACGGCTCCAAGTATTAAATATGATGATAATAATGAAAGTGTAACGCTAATTGGTATTGTTGCTTTACGATAATCAATATTAAAATTATCAACAAATTCAACAACACTTGTCGATGGCTTAGATTCAATATGATTGGTCGATACTGTTGCTAGAGAACTTGGTGGTGATGTTGTTACATTGGGAAATTTTGGAACTGATGATGATGAATTCTGTGATAATTCAACTGATTGTAATGCTCGAATATTACGACGTTTCTTTATCATATTACAATAGGAACAGCAAACATTACAATAGATAAAACGAAATGCATCAGCCATTGTCGAACCAATATTTGCTAGACATAATAACATTAGAGGAATACCAAATATAGCATAGATCATTGTCATGATTTTTCCATAATTTGTTTTGCTAGAATAAATAAAAGGAAAATTTTTGATGTTCATCTCACATCAAGATATAGTTCTTTGTGTGATGAACTCTGATAGAGACGACACGCCGGTGATTTTGTCTAGCCCTTCTGATAGCTCGCTTTATTTTTAATATAGAAGTTTTTAACTGATATTATTTATCCAGTTCTATTAGTAGAATAAAAATTCTGAGTATATCCAATCATTCCTTCATACCAAGTTATATGTCCATAGCCTAGAAATAACAGAAAAATAAATTTTACAAATACATACATATAAAAATCTATTACCGATTGTTGTAATAACTGTAATAGCATAGAGAATTGCACCTGGAAAATTCCATTGTTTAGTATCATCTTCAAAACGTTCGCCTTGATAACCACGTTTTGTTTGGCGAACTAAATCTAATTGGTATTCTTCAAGTATTTGTCTAGCCATCGTTGTCCAATTATTTACATGTAAAACTTTTGATTGTTCACTCGTGTTAAATAATCGTTCTACTGTTATATTTAAACGTCGATGAACACCTTGACTAACTTCGCCTTCATGAGGCCCTTCAAGTAATTGAAATACAACGCCGCCAGCAAACGCATATGCCACAACGAGTAAACAAAGTCCAACACGTGAAAATATAAATGTTGTTACGGATTTACAGCAGTTTTTACACCGTTCCATACGTTCCGAATGAAAAGGACCAGTTTTCTTGTGCAGTTGGCCACTTTGTCGTTGCTGCTCTTGAAGCAGCTCATCTCGTCGTTGTTTCCTGGTCAAATGAAAATAGAACATTGTTTAGTTCAACGTTAAAGAAAAAATTCGAATGAATTCTATTTTGAACAACGCAAATAATAATAATAATTAGCAGTTTAGTCGATCCTATAAATCTTTCAAATCGTGTTGAATTGTGTAGACAATAAAATAATACTTAGGCGTGATATCTTTACTCGACAAAACAACAATATGGTAATGTTTTATGATCACAATTGACTCGATCACAGCCCATATACACACGTACGTCATCAAAGTAATAGATAGATCAGATCGCATGCGTTATAGGAGATGTTTGACATATGTTTTATAACAATAGAATGAATAACATGAATTCATATCATACTTTCAATCAGTTTTTTCATCGGTGATACTTACGGAATATGTCCATTGGCTTTGGGTGCAGCAATATTGTCATATAAACTAGTATTGCTCGAGAAATGAATCTTATGACGTCCGGATGGCAAAGATCTACGGTGATGATGGTGATGGTGATGGTGGTGGTGGTAGTGTCCAGTAGGTGTTTCAAACAGCATTATACTCTTTACAGTTATACACTTGTATGTCTCTAGTGAGAACTCATAATGATAGGAAAAAATATGCAAGCATGCGTTAGTTACATGACTAAAAACGATTTCCTAATTACATAATTATTTCCATGTGTTTGATTACCTAACACACATACTATCAAGAATATTTCTGTTCCGGATATTAATTGCAAGCAAATCAACCGGAAGAAATAAACGTCGGATATCGACGAGGAAAAAACCTAACAAAAGATGTTTGACCCTGGATAGATTATCAATACAAAAGAAAATAGTTCCTTTGTATCTAGAGGGTATTTTTCTTGTATTTTTATCTTATCAATAGATTATTATTGATAAATAATGCCATGCATTAATGACAATATATCTACCTTTAGATGTAGCCGCGTCATCGTCGATGGTTACGAACAGTTGCTTTTCTTTCTCTCTGGTTCAATAGATGCAGTTATCTTAATGTACTTGTTTCTTTAGAGGAACCAGAAAAATATGAATAAATCTATCTTTAAATCGATCGATATATATATATATTGAGAAAGATTCTGATTCCTTTTTTAGTATTCATGAGTTGCTTGTTGTAATGTAACTATACTTAATCGAATAACATGGATAAGAAATCATTGGCTTACTCAAGAGGATGGGTACGGATTAATAGAATTAGACACTCGTGTAGCGAAACATCTACATGAAATCTCTCATCGGACATACAGAATGGTTGAATGTTGATCGATGTAACAGCAACCTAAAACAGTAGGGTTACTACCACGCTTGACAATGATTTTTATTAAATTGTTGCATGTCACAAGAATATGTTTATCACACATGCAACACAAACGAGAGAGAAGGACGAAATGAAAGAAAATATTAGAAGAAATTTGAAAACAACCGAAATATATTGCATTGCTTGTTAACACTGTCGATTTTTGTCTTGAATTCTCTTATCTTTTAGATCGCCGTCAATCATTAATTATTAACAACAATTAGTCTAGTGAAATAATAATATTTATCACAACAAAATAAACAGAACACTAGTGTTAATCTGATTCTAGTGTGAATAATTTATTCATTCTGCTAACGACAAGTGAACCGTCCATTATTGTTTACTGTCGATATGTAATCACATTCATCATTGACGGCACTGGTTTATTTTTATTTCTGAACAGAGAGGAATACAATCTACATATTGTGAATGATGATGTGACTTACGATCAAGCGACATGGACTCAAATCCAGGAAAACAATGTCAACATGTCATTGATTTCCGTAAAACTCGATGTAGTATCAGGTGAAATGATCGTCGTGGAAAGTCAAATTTAGCAGAGTTGTCACTTAGAAATTTAAATGATATTCTGCAGCTAGGGCCAACGATCCGAACTGATGGGCAATGACTCCTTATAAAATGTTTTACTCCTCTGCATTGAGTAATAACCAGCAGCACCGTCATATGAAAGTACTGCAAGTACTATCCATAGCAATGACGATTCTGTGCGTTTTTAGAATAAAATCTTCTAGGAAACGTACAGTTTTCTTGATCTAGATTTATAGCTATCGATTATTCTTGTTGAGTTTGGACGATCACAAAACACACAGTGAGAAAATCAAAATAGGCCTACCCTTAGATATATTAGCAATAGCTTCTATTGGCAAATTTTTAATTTTCTTTGCTATTATTAATGTCCATGTAGCAACACACTAGAGAATCTCACACATAACATCATTCAATATCTGGAAGCGATACCTGAACATTAGTAATATGATCAAGAAAAAATGATAGATGTCACTATAGCAATGAGGTATAACTATCTATTTGAAATACTCGATTATTAATATTGTATAAATTATGCTTTCTATTTGATCGTGCTGATATTCTTAGTATGATTATAGATTCTATTATTCAACATGTGTCTTAGGCATAGAAGAGACAATGACGTAAATTCAATATCAACGTTTGCACATTCCCCGGAAAAAAAAGAATTCCATCTATTTGTTTTTCTAAACCTAAGAAGATTTATTCGTACGCAAGAAAAAAAGCTCTCTAGACGCAAAGCGTACAATTCAATACTAGTTATTAATCAGATAAAAATATTATTGTGGTTTTCAATAGATCGAATAAACATGATTGTTGTGTATTTAGTTGTTAAAAAACTTCTAATTATTACTCTACAAGACAACATAATGGAAAAGATAACAATTTTTGCGCATCTTTCAGTTGACATCATTGATTGGTTATACAAATATAATTTGATTGACTTGTTCCTGTTCTATTCTTTCGACATGCAGTCCTAACGACAAACTACGTAGTATATTTTCTTACAAAAAGATTCTTCCTATAAAGATAATAATTTTTAAATAATTATTGCTTACTTCACTGCGATATGTCGACGAATAACGTCATATATATCGTTAAAAACGCGATAATAAAGTAGAGACATCAAATGAAGATATATATAATTAAATAGTAAATATATAAATATTGATAAAATCAGGCAAAAGAAAATATGAATACGTTGCAGTTTCAAATCAAACCAGATGTAAATATTTGTTTCTTTGAAAATATGTTTTCGATCGAGTTGTTAATAATTAAGTCTTAGTCTTTACACAAGTGTTTGTAGATATATATATATATATATTCTGAACTTATATATGTATGTACGTATGTGTGCTTGCGTATGTGTTAGTTGGCTTTGCTATCACAGTAGACAAGAACAAGAGATATCACGGCGGATAGAGAGAGCACGCGAGAGAGAAAAATACGGAAAGACAAGCAGATCGGCATTTGCACAACTATCGTGTACATATTTTAGTATTGTCATCAACGTCAATAGCACTGTTGAGAATAGACAGTTATCAATTAGCGAACGTGATTTACGTAGATGTTTAGAATACAAGGAAAATAAAAATCACACAAAGTCATTATGTTAAGAAAACAGTTTTACCTTGCAGATCGTTCCAGGAATCGTGTAAGACTATGCATAGCATTGCAAAAGATCAACGACATCACTTTTCTATTTCTTTTTTTTATCAATTTGAGTATTACTTTCCTAGATAGTACCACTAATTTATAGAGTCTATCGATTATGATCCGGAAAGAATAATAATTCATTTGGGAAACGAGAGTTTATTCGATATGGATAATTCAATTTAAATGATCACATGAGAAACAAATAAGACTTTATAATTTTAATCGTTATTTAAGATGAAAACAAAATTATAACATAGTTTCCGAAAGAAGAAAAATTAGTTTTTTTCTCGTGTTCCCAAATTTTCGAATGAATAGTCATCAATCAAAAAACAGTTGATATCCGATTTGACAAGGCATGCCGGTTGTATACTAGAACGGCATGCAATGCCATATGTTCAAACGCAGATAGCATATGAGATGAGCATAAACAACTGTGGTTTACGATGCCATATGACCGCGAGTTGAGTTATGCGTATCAGTTATAGAGATTTACGGTTTATATTCTATTCAAAAAAAGACTAATTATTAAGTTTTGTGCTTGTTTTAATAAATATGGGAGAAAAGGATGGGTAGATAATCTTGTACGAGACGTAGCTGATATGTATTCAATTGTATATTATAATTACAAACAGCGCTATATGATAGTGGGTAATCTAAGGTTAAGTCATACGAAAGTTTACGAGGATCGTAATCTTTTGTCCTGGATAAACGTTTTAGCACTATAAAATAGTCATTAGGGAAGAGTATCATGGTTTCAAGAGACAAGAAAATGTGTGCCACCTCTTGTTCTCATTATTATTTACTTAACATATGAAAACCAACGAAGGATTCTCCTTTGTATTATCCTTAAGCGTGCTATAGATAACCGTCTCTTCATCCTTGCAGGCTGTCATTCTTGAACTTTTTTATTTATAATTAAATGTACCGTATTTTATATGCAGAATGTAGATCAGATGATTTCAAATTTTTTTCCTATCGACTAGAAGAAGAAGAAGAACGAAATAAAGTAGAACATTGATCAAGATCTTACATCATATTCATTAGCTAGTTTAACGATATTATTTATATACCCTTCGCGTTGCTCTATCTGACATTATTCATTTGCTTCTTTTTTTTTAATGTAAATGTGTGCACACTGTTTTCTTTGAAGGTTAATCGAACAAAACAATAAAGATATGAACATGCTTTTAATAGGCTAATTAAAATAGAGATAAGGTTGTACCTTCAACTATCAACATTAACCCTGGAACAAGACGAAGAATCATAACGTCATGATTAATGTTTATATTATTATTATTCGATCAAGCAAAATCATTTATTAGCAAAAACTGTATTCTAATAGACACTTTTGATTCGGTTAATCATGTTATTTTCATAGAAGATCGAACATGTTCTATTAATCTTTTCTTAGCGTTAAAATAATAGGTTGTTTTAATACATCTATTTTCAGTTATCGAGAAACATAGCAGCAGCATATTGTAGACTATACTCATTCTGAGTACTTATTACAGAATTTCTGTGCAGCAGGTGTTTTCGCTCGTCAAAAGTCATTCTATCGCTCGATAGATTACGAGAGTGTTTTGGCGGAGAAAAACTCTCTATCGAATTCTCTTCCAAGAGTTAAGAATACGATAAAACGAATCTATGCATAATTTTGTTTTGGTATTATTCTCCAAAATATGTTTTCAGCAAATCAGCTCATCCACGGATCACGAAGAAAAAGTGCTACAGCGCTTGTAGTTTATCGGCATACGACTGTTCTCTCTTGATTTAGTCAAAGAGAAATGTTGCGTTTGCAAATCGATTTCAATACATTACAGAAATCTGTCAATCTAATAGAACAAATATTTCAAACGATGACACGTCAATCTATATGAGACATAATATCGTCTAATGCTTTTGCACGGAAGTGCATTGCAACGGGTGACACATTTTGATAACTAATTTCTGATTGGTCATTGAGATAATCCAATAAAATATTCTGGCGACGCTATTTTTTTTAACATTATATTATTATTTGGTATATATAATACGTATACATATACACTGGGAAGTGTCTGTTCGATTTAAGCATCAGTTAAACATAGTATTAAATGTCACATTGCGTTTAGCTTATAGAACAAATAAAAATGGCTGTAAGATCTGAACGTGAAAAATCTAAAATGCAAGAAAAATATCAAGCAATACTTGCACAAATGCTCAAAGAAGAAGATAATAAATATTGTGTTGATTGTGATACAAAAAGTAAAGAGAACATTAACAAAAAAAACAAACATTTGTCTAGTTTTCTTGTTTAGGTCCACGATGGGCTAGTTGGAATATAGGTGTATTTATATGTATTCGTTGTGCTGGTTTTCATCGTAATTTAGGTGTGCATATATCACGAGTGAAATCAGTGAATTTAGACTCGTGGACAGCCGAACAGATTGCTGTATGAATGCAAATATAAACTTATGTAATTTTGTTTTTGTTATGTTTCTATTGCATAGTCAATGCAAGCTATGGGTAATAGTCGTGCGCGAGCTGTATATGAAGCAAATTTGCCTGACGGATTTCGACGGCCGCAAGGTGATTCGTATGTGATTTGTTTTTTCGTAGATTTATCTGTTTAATGCTTTTATTCTAGAACGTTAGAATCATTTATTCGAGCTAAATATGAACAACGTAAATGGATTGCGAAAGAGTGGATTCCTCCTGCAATCACGGTGCCTATTGATGTCAGTGTTGTCTGCTAATTGTTGCACTGTTTTCGAGTAGTTTTGTGTTTTCTAACGATTATTTTCTTTCTTTTTTAGCTCATCGAATCAGAAACAAATCAACGACGAACTGAAACTAAGTCTGACATCGAAAGAGTAAAACATAGTTTTGCTAAAATATGTATTAATGATAATAATGGAACAATATTTAGGTAGAAAAAAATGTTGCGAAATTAAAGCCATTTGCAGTACCCGTATCGATTAGTAAGCCAGTACAACAAATTACAAAAACAGTATCACCTCCTGTGATAATACCTCCTGTAGAAAATGATACTCAAGATCTACTAAATTTAGGTATAAAAATATAAAATTCTCAACGGAGATTTAACTTAAATGGATTTCAGATGAACCAACATTTCCTTCATCGAATAATGAAATCCATTCAACAACTCTTCCTTCAACTGACATTCTTGATCCACTAAGCGAGTTATTTACAACAGCAGCGACAATCTCATCGCAGAATCATACAGAAGTACATAAGCATAATATCAAGCCTTTGAAAATAACTTTTGCTTTCTAGAATAATACTCAAACCAATCATAGTGCACTTATGACTAATGAAAACATTATGGCTTTATTTAATAAACCTCAACCATCGGCAGCACCAGGCACAGGAATGCATATTCGACCAGCACAAATTCCACTATCGAATCGTATGTATTAATACAAGATTAGTTCAATATCACCTTTGATTTGACGATTGTCTGTAATTAAGAGAAAGCGATGTTTTTCGCTGAAACTAAATCAAATTAAAAATTCCAAAGAAAATTTTTCCCATCATTCTAACTGAATTTTTACCATAAATTTATAGCGGGAAAAGATCTACTTGAAATTGAACGATTTAGGTTAGAACGAAATTATTTATTGACATACATTTTCTACAAGAAATATAATAATCATTTGATTCGATAAGATCTATTTGCATGCAACGTATCAGAAAGAAAGTATTGATCTATTTTATAAAAATTTCTATTCTTATATTTTAGTTGCATTTCCGGGTTTTCCTTATTCTTCAGCACAACATTCTCAATTAGTCCCTCCACAAAAATCCATGTCGTTTACTAATAATCTTTATCAACAAGCAACAAATGTCGGATTTCAAGCTCAAGTATGTATCAAACAGAAGCAGATTTCCTAATTAAATAAAATCATTTTTCAGTCAGGTCATCCACATCAAGTACGTCCAGGGATAAATTATAATAATCTAAACGGTATGTATTCATCAAATCTTGCAAGTCCAACATCAACACTTACACATAGCCAAGTAGGAACATAAAAAATCATTTCTATTGGTTATTCAATTTATTTATTTATTTGTTTAGGCAAATAGTCAATTTCTTCAATTTGCAAGTACAAGAAGTAGTAGCTCAACAGCAGCATTAATATCTCAGATGCCAACACGTTCTGTGACAGAATACATACCAGCATCGTCTGATACTCGTTGGCAATAATAAACATTTAGATATTAGATTTTCTCTTCGATCTCAATATATCTTTGCTTATTTATATTTTTCTTCTCTACTCTAATCTTAACATCTCTTTATTGATGTTGTATATAAATACTAATTCAATATTTATGTGAAAATTCTTTGGAAATAAATGTCGTATTTATGTTAAAAAAACGCATAACGAACGTTTATCTTTCCTCTTATTTTTAATGAATCAAATCATCTTTTGGCAGTTTTATTTTATCTAGTAGCAGAGATATAAGCAAGAATTAGAAAACTTCTTTCCCAAGGTTAAACTTTGAGCTTTTCCATTCCATTCCATTACGTTTAAGGTTATGGTTAGTAGTAACAATAAGTACTATTCTATCTACTTGTCGAATATTGAGACGAAATTTTCACGCTGACGCGGGTGTATTCATGAGCTTGGCATAGAAACAGCATTTTGATTCATCATTGATAAATTAGTTGTGATTTTTTTTCTTCGAGCTCACTATGCATCATGATTGACCGAGTAATGGATTGGACAGTTCTGGTAATTATACTTCGGCAGTCAACATAGCAGGTATAAAATGACACTCAATCTACTCATTTATGATATGACTGGTTTTTATTTATGCTTAGGTGACTAACGATAGTATTGCATTAATTGCTTATAAATGTGTTATTTGGAACCGATGATTAATCAATTTAGATCTTCATTTAAATATGATAGTTAACGATTCAATCGAATTACTGGTCGCGGTTATCAAGAATTTGATGGTCCACAAGTAAATAGCTTTAGTAGAACATTCACACGTATGATTCGAAGGTTTGAGTCTAGGAAAATTTCTCGTCAAGTGATTTTCGAGAAACTGAGAACTGCTGCATTGAAATCCATTAGAAATTGTTTCAGATTAAAATTCAAAATTTTCGATACAGAAATTTCTAAATTTATCCTTTTAGATTATGTTTCGTAAAGATTTCAAAGCAAAAGGGCACACACAAGTTAAATCGTCCGATCGGAAAAAATTACGTCAACAAATTCAACAACTCTATCCAGCACTAAATGATGATATACTTTCGTTGATTATTCCAACTGGTAAAGGCGAAGATTTTACATCATGTAAAATATCGCTAAGTACCGGCGATGATATATTAGTTTATTCAACAAACAAAACGCCATGGTTTTTCGTTGTCGAAGACACAAAAAGTAAAACTGAACGTATTCTCCCTACGGTTTATCTCTTATGGAAATGTCCCGATTTATTACCGTTAAAATTTCATACACATAGACATGTATTTAATAAATTAATGAATGGTGCTGATCTCATGTTGCCTGGCCTAATTCTTCCACCAGGTAGTGTTATCCCGCAAACATTTCGGCATGTTCAACGAGATCAACTTTGTTCGATATGTTTGGATGACAATCGTTATCCGATTGGTATCGGTCAAACAACTATGGATGGTGATGATATGTATATGAGCGGAATGAAAGGACGAGGTATTGCACTGCTACATATTTATCAAGATACTCTTTGGAATTTCGGACCACGTACTGAAGGACCCTACGAAAAAGAACAACGACAATACTTTGAGACGGATCAAACAAAAGTTGAAGAAAATGTTGAACCAGCATGTGCGGAAGCGTCCAATGCTATTAGTTCGCTGAATTTAGATGAGGAATCAGCATTAGGTTCGTATTTTTCTGCTAGGAAAATTTTTTTGTATGCTTAGACTATTATAACCTCTCTGGAAGTAAAATAGGATGTCCATGTTACAAGAAAGTAGCTCTAGCTAACATAACTTTTGCATATTCCGACAATCGTTTTCACCCTCATAGAACGAAAAGAGCCTCTCTAATCAAGAAACACGATTAGAATTCAATTGATTTTCGAAATAAATGTATTCTCATTCTGGTTTTAGTTACAAATTCTGATGAACCTCCGACTCATCCTGAATCGATGGACGAAATACTCGATACAATATTTTTCTATCTATGCCAACGTAAAGCTAAATCATATGAATTGCCACTGTTAGCATCCCATTTCTATACAATAATGCAAGATTGTGTACCAGGTTTAACACTCGATCTTAAATTAAGTTCACATAAAAAGTTTTCGAAATTTCTACAACATCAACAACAAATCAATAGTCTTATTGCAATTGAAGAAACCAAACCAGGTGTACTGGCTATAAGTTCATTTAATTTAACGAAAAATGAACAGTTAGATAGTTTCCGTACGCCTTCATGGCTTAAAAACTATCTAAGTAAAGCATCCGATACAGCTGCTGCAGCCGCAGTAGCAACTGAATCAGAGCGTTCGACGACGAAATATATATTTCCTGACATAGCTGAATTATGGAAGACCAATTCACGTGTTAATGAAATCTTAGATTGCTCATCGTCAACACATTATCTTCGTCCCGATGAAATTCGACAAGCAGTTCGAGCCTATGTGATACGAAATAATTTAAATAGTGAAAAACAAGTCAAATTAGATCCGATTCTTAGTCGGCTGTTTAAAACAAAAGATACACCGTCAACATCCATCGGATGGAATGAACTTAATAATGCTGTTTTCAATGCCATGTCATCATGTACTGAAGTAGCATTTGCTCATCTTGAACAACCGATTCGTATTAATGGTCACATCCCACCTATTGAGATTGAGTGTGTTGATCGAAATCGAAAACGACAAACGTTTATACGTTATTTAGATACATATCAAATTGATTTAAGCGAATTATGTAAACGTATTAGGCAAGGTGCGTCAGTAAGTGCTGTTATTAATGAAACGGATGAAACACGACGAACCGGTCGAATAGTTATGGCACAAGGCAATCAAATTTCATTTGTTATTCGTGTACTAAAAGAAGATTATGGGGTTCCTGGAAAATTTATCAAAGAAATATGAGTATATTTTTTATAAAATGTTAACACATTATTTTTTTTTCTACAAGAACGAGTGGGTTTTTTCGTTTTAATAAATGAATTGTTGAAAATGTCGTTGTATAATCAGACACTAGAAAAAATTTGTCTCGAAACTACCATCGCTGATATATAGTCCATTCATGTCGCTTGGATTTGAATCTTATCTAACGGGCTCTAGCTTCATATCTCAGTTAAGTCACGGTAAAATTATTGCATCTATCTCATCCCATTGACAATAATCATTGAAATATTTTTATTTTCGCTCTGTTTATTACTCTAAACACAATGACAATATATTTTCTATACAAGAACAATTGATTGTATCTTCACATGCTAAACATGGATATCCTGCGATAAGTGCAATCCCAATCTTTTTATATTCTACGCCACGAGTCAACTGTGGATAGACATTCATGTAAAAATCAGCAGCTTCTCATATCAAGTCATTCATAGCTGGCTCAGGGTTACCTGTAAAAAAATATAATCGAATCAAGATACAACAGAAACAACATGCCCATGAGAAGTTCATGTTGAATTTTATCACTAAACGTTGGTAATAATGGTCGATCGGCAATTCGACTAAGATCAATATCCTACGAAAATGAATTATGAATACTAAAAGTTTTGGATTCTTTCTCTATACTTCATTATTATCCATCGGTTGAGGTTGCTGTCGTGATGGAGAGCTATAGGAATTGGCTTCGTCAAAGCTGTTATCAACAGTAGCAATATGTGTACGCTGTTGAGCTGGCGGATTTCTATGAACGACATTTGATGAAGAATTTTTTCTGATTGTTGTCGTTTTTTCTACACGTCGGCGTGGAGAATCAGATATTGGATCCTTAATAAGCAATAGAATTAAAAACGCAGTTATTATCACTAAAATTGCCATTCTGATGGATAATCGTGGCGTGCTAATTTGAAAATCTGTTCATTCTCATTGTAGAAATTAACAGAGTATTTTTTTCCTGTAAAATTAAAACAGAAATTCTTACAGGAGATAGACTTCGCTCACGACGAAAATTCAATCGTTGAGAAGGAACACTAGACAACTATTAATTTAAAAAATGTGCCGATGAAAAAATTTATAAACGACAGTGTTCCATTTCAAATGGTCCTTGAGAGCCATCATTCGTACCGAGAAAATCATGTAGAAATATGGCTGACGGAGACATTACCATCGGTTTCATTACGGAAATTTTGTTTTCCGAAATAGACAAAAGAAAGAAAGAATCTTAGTTTCGCTGTTATTGGCTGAGGATTCAAACCAACTTTCCAAAGTGTTAGATGTCCGTCTCTATCACATGGTAAAATCTAAGAGATGTCTCTGCAAATACTGCCAGCTATATTTTAATATGATTTCTCAAAATAACGCTGAAATGAACTTGTGAATTTTTGTCTTTTGATTAAAAACTTCAATGTTTGAAATCGGTCTCGATCGCCAAGCATGGCAGTAATTTTGGAAACTATTTCCAGCTATTTGCTCGAGTTTATCTCAAAAGAAAACACGCAATATATAACGAGCTATTTTAATGAGGTGGCATTTAATTTGCAAATATTTCTTGGCGTGCCATTTACTGTATCGATTATCAACACGAAAATTAGAATTAGTTACATATTTCAAGTATCTGTATGATGATTCTACAATAAATGAAACCTTTCCCAAGTGATCATCGATCATGGAGATCTTATATTCCCTTAGATCCAATGTCACAGATATTACTGTTGTCCGTTTTCTTTTGAATAGAAGCAGTAAAGTACATTTTATTAGAAACCATGAAAATGTATTTTTTTTTGTTATGCACTAACTGACGGCTTCATGAGCCCTTACAGTACAAAGAGTTAGGAAAATGAAAATGTATTTTTACTGCCTATCAAATAAATATTTTTGGCGCACTTTAAAGATCTCTTTGTTATTTTACTAGAAGAGATTTTTCATAAATTTTTGAGACACAATTCTATTAAAAAATGGTTTATTTATTATTTCAGTCAAAATGAAAAGAAAATAGTTTCAATCATGCACTAAGATTTCATCCAGGGTACATGTAACATGTTCTATCGGTCGTTAACCGATTAAACGTAACGACGAAGCCCCTTGTATAAAATTCACTGGGATAAATCGCAATGAAAAATACAATAAAAAAGCAAAATGACAATTTGTTTTTCCAAATAGTCTCAGCTATGAATATTCTGGTGTCTGTTTTTTCTATATCTAATAAATAGAGAATCACCAAAAGATCATTCAGGACACTCTACCAAAAGAACACGATGGCTATATTCATAACCACGGATTATATTTCTTACGAAATAGCGCTGGTCTTTCTTCTGTTTAATGTCTATATCATTTGTGAGTCTGTATTAGGAAACATCCCGAGTCGTGTACAAGGTTCTCCTTTTAGCTATCGATACTGTGAATTTTTCATCTAATGATTATTACCAATAACTCTCGCTAGCATTCATGCAAAGAAAAATCTCTGCTCTTTTCAATACGTAAATAAAAAAAAAAGATGTTCTGTTTCTGCATTTTTTGATGTACCTAAAAATGGCGAGAGTTTAAAATAGGACAGCAAAAACAAGAGAATGTGAAAAGGAAAAACTTTTTCGAAAAAAAACCATAAGTAAGAAGTATTACAGACAATAATAACAACACCGAGAACAACAGCACAGAATCAATGAGAACTCACAGGATATAAAGTGAAACAAGAGAAGAAAAGAAAGGGTAAGACGAGAAAGAGAAATGAAGAAGAAAACAGACGTGATAACACAGATCTATACATGAAAACAGATGATATTGCTGCAAGAGAAAAACGCACAGCTATTAATAAAAGTCAAAAAAAAGAAAACAAGAGAAAAGAATGAAAACACATATTTCGTATGCGTTTAAAATATTTAAAAATAAAAAGAGAAGAAAAGTCTAGTTAATTCTTTTTTTCGCTCGTTAGAATTCTTCAAATTCTTTTCCAAATTTTTCAGTTGTTGCAATTCGAACTAAAATCATAAGAATAAGACGCAAAACAAGAGACAATGAAAAGTTTTCTTACGTGGTTCCTCTTCATATTCATCAAAATTACTTGCATCACCTAAATAACAACGATAATAATAATAATAATAAAAGTGAAAATGTCGAATAAATTCTAAACAAACCGGGCCCTTTCGTTTTCGGTATAAATGGTGCTTCAACTTTCTTTTGATAAATAGCAATCCAATCAGTTGATGTAAACCATTTATGAGTTTTAATATCATCAACACCATTTTTTAAATTTCCATAACGTTTCGTTAAATCCACTTGGAGAAGATTGCGTAATAGATCTTTCAAGTCACTGCTAAAATGTGATGGGAATCGAACCTAAAATTTAAATTTCATTCGTACATTACTAACTCTATTTCAATTGGCTTACTTTTCCGGATACAATTTTTTCATAAATTTGAATTGGTTGATCAGCAAAAAACGGTGGATAACCCTAAGTAAAATCGAAGAAAATCAATTGCAATATTTTGTCAATAAATAGAAATCTATAAGAACATACAGCCGACATTTCATAGATTAGTACACCTAACGCCCACCAATCAACTGCTTTATTATATCCTTTCGATAAAATGATTTCCGGTGCCAAATATTCTATAAGCAAAACAAAATAACATATTGATGCTATTTGATAGTGAATTTTTTTCTATACCTGGCGTGCCGCACAATGTCCAAGTTCGACCTAGAGATGAAATAAAGACAAATGAAAGCTATTTATGAATGTGTTTTTTAAGAGCCTTCATTAATTAAACGAAATCTTATTACATATCACGGATGGCATTGGTTTGGATTTTGCTTTAGCACCTATCTCTTTCATCATGTATCGTATTTCACATGGCTGTTTGATATACAAAGTCTCTTATAAGGATAATTAGATATACTAAGATTAAATTAACCAATCGTATAACAGTCTAGTTGAAATTAGATACTTTGGAATCTATGTTTAAATCAAATAAACTCCTTGTGAAAATATGCTAAACATCTATGGAATATTCTAACGAACGAAACATTTTTTCGCTGAAATTTATGTACAAAAATAAATGGTTGAAGATGTTGACGTTCATAGAAAGTACAAAAACTTTCAGCACATTTTCTTTGACTTTTCTGCAATTTGAATCCTGGCGAAGCTGCTGGTACTAATTAAAGGAAGATAACTTAGGGCATTTTTGTTGTTTGATCATTTCTCTGCTTAATCTTCTACAGGTACCGTATTCATATAAGAACTTTGCAGGGTATAATTATTCCATTTGGAGTGCATTTCATAAATAATATTCTTTACGACTACTATTTTTCAATCGCCTGACGTCAGAAAGAAAGCCTTCACAAGAGCGCAATAAAATGGATATTTTACGGCACATGAAAATTAAAAAACACTTTTAGATTTAGAAAAGCTACTTGATGTTTCGTGTAAGATGTTTGATGAATCACTCTTTTTATTTGCATACGAAAGTGAAATTTGCGTCAGTAACTCTTTCTCCATGAAACGAACGCACTTATTCGTTAAGGTCTTCGAGCTCGATTATAAAATGATAGCTTTTATGTTTCTTTCATGGAATAAATAGCTTAATAATAGGCCTGTCGATTTACAATGTCTTTCTATCTATGCCTGCAATTGAGATAATCTCAGTACAAATTACATAATTGAAGCTATGCCGGCATCAAATTGAAAAAAACATCGTTTTTTTACTATACCCGTTACTTAACAGTAAAAAGAGAATATCAAGTGAATTTTTTTCTATATAAAATCTAAATCAAGTGTAGCACCTATTTGAAAGCAATCTTTTCTTTCTTCCATAGATCAACTAGATAAATAGGGATGAACTTCATTCAAGAATGATAGCTTCATCAAAACAAAAATTACAAATCAATCAGGTTAACTCAACCTATTCGTTCAAGGAAATATTTGCGTAGACAGTAATCTCTACAAAAAGTCACAAGCTCATTTCATTATTTATTAATTCAAGCTGTTCCTTGGAGAAAAAAAATAAGTGAGAGCTTTTTTAAGACTCTCACGTCCTACTAAATCCTATTCAATTTGATATAGATTAGTGGTTTCTTGTTCGTTTGTAATGCTATTATATGCAGTCGGCGATCGAGGGTTGCTACTCTCCTCAACAAACTCATTTCAAACATGATATCGACATAAATTGTCTTCCAACAACCACATACCTTTAATTTTTTTGGCAAAACCAAAGTCAGTTACTTTTAAATAACCTTCAGCATCAATCAATAAATTTTCAGGCTAAAATTTTGAAAAAAGTATTTTTTAGTTGCTGTTTTCTTCAGGAACTGTTTGTTTTCCTACTTTAAGATCGCGATAGAGTATATCTAAATAGTGAAGATATTCAAATGTTAATACAATTTGAGCAGCATAAAATCGAGCATGTTGTTCACTATAGAAATGATCATTAGAATATTAAATAAATCGAGTATTTTTGTTTGTTTTTCTTTCTATAATGAATACCTAAATCGGCCGACTTTACGTAAATGACTAAACATTTCACCACCGAGTACAAATTCCAAAACCATATATAAATAAGAATTATCCTTTGAAATAATAGAAACACAATTAACAATTCATTTGTTGTTGGTTTTTTTCAAAATAATCTACTTTAAAATGATAATCCAAATTGACAAGAAAAGGAAAAGAGATAGCTTGAAGAATTCGTTTTTCATTGAGTGTATGTTCAATTTGTTTTAATTTAACAACCTTGAAAAGAAAGGTATATTAATTTATTCTTCGCTCGTTTTCTATTCAATAATATTACTTTTTGTTTGTCAAGAATTTTCATTGCATAGTAATTTCCGTTTGTTAGATGTTTAACAAGCATAACACGTCCAAATGAGCCTTAAAACAATAGTTTTAC